GCCAACCGCTTGCTGCACCTCCGGCAGGTTCAGATAATCTCTGAAGTAGTCGTAGGGAAACGGGTCAGGCGTCAAGAACCTCATATCGTACTCGTCGCGTTCGCTGTAGATGTCGTAGAGGTTCTCGACCTTGGAGTAGCAAAAGTCATCTGCGGCGGCACAGACAGAGTTGATTCCCGTCTCGTAGCACTGCTTGGTACGGTCTACGCAGTTTCCAGGGCCGTAGAGGTTGTTGTACCACTCAGCCTTGACTGTGTCGTTGTACGGGTCGTAGTCGTAGGTGTTGCCAGGGAAGACGGAGTAGTTGTAGTAGGCCTGGTACTGGACAAGCGGATCGAACCACCCGTTACCAATCAGCACGTTCTCGAGCTCGATCTTGTGTGCGCCGCTGATGTTCTTCGCGTTCTGGTCGAGGAAGTAGGCGTTGAAGACGGGTGCATAGTGGCCGCCATAGCTCTCGGTGGTGAAGCTAAAGCCGTTGCGCGAGTACTGGGGGAATGCGCCCATGAATCCTTGTAGTGTCTTCCACATGTTTGGGGCCGCGCTCTCGGTGCTGTTGACGGTCAGGGTGTGGTCCGGCTTGGAGTATGTTCCGCAAGTTCCATAGTTCTCAGCGTAGTCTGGGCAGGTCGCGTTCGGCAGCTGAACGATCGTGCTGCCGTCGCTATAGCCGGGGATAGGAATAGAGTACGAGAACCCGACGTCTGTTGGTTGATCGATGAACAGCATGTTGCTTGCATTCGTCCACGAGTACGGATTGTTGAACGGCTTCATGTCTGGGCCAATACCACATGGTCCCAATTCCTGGAAGAGGCCGATCATGGAGCTGGAGCCTGGGCCTCCATTGATCCACTGGAGCAATGTCAGTATGATTCCATGATGTTAAGAAGGAGCTCGCGGTAGTTGAAATTGTGTCCGAAAGTCGTCTTAACTTACCACTGTCAACGGCGCATCAGTCGGGTCCTGGTTGCGCGCCTCGAAGAACCACCAGAAGATATGCTGGTCCTCAGCCACATCTGCATAACCACTGTAGCTCTTGACACTCGGGTCGAGCTCGCAGATGCCAGCAGGTACCTCCTTGTACCGTACACTGACATTCGCATAGCCCTCTTTAGTAATAAGATCTTTTGGCGCAGGTACGAATTGCGCAAGAGTACCCGCAGCCAACAAAGGCGCGGCGATTAACTTGGTCGCGCTCTTCATCGTCCGTTCAATTGCAAGTCTTGTATTCCTGTCCGACTCGATGATTGAGTGAGTGGGAAAGAGCGAAGGTAAACAGAGAGAGAGCTGTATGACGAGCACTTTCACTTTTTATTCTGGAAGCTTATGCAGGTCCGACTAGAAAGGCCCGCAGTCGTCGCGATAGCCAACTCTCACCTTCCCATGTAGGCTAATAAGTTGCTCATCTCGGTCCCGGAGGCCGGGGTCGTGGCTATCCGCGTAGCCTGTTGCTCGTACCGGCGACGTCATGGTGTAGCTCGGTACTTGCGGTTTGTTTTTCGCGACGCGCGATGGGCAAAGGCCTATTTAGAGTATACCTTCTGAATCAGCCATCGCTAGAGTTATACGCGTTCAATGGATTTGTTCCAGACGACCTACACATGCAAAATGCGATACGGGCGGACAAAGACCATGAATCTGACCGGAGCCTGTCGCCTTGTTAATTGAGTGAGACGCTACGAAAAGCTACCCCGCTATTCCGTCCAAGCGCGCATTGGCAAGAGCTTGTGCAAGCTTGCACGGCTTGATAGCGGTCATGGCGATAGTGGCAGACTATCTAATCCTATATGGGCAGGTAGGTAGCACCGATTAACCGAACATCACCGGTCAGCTTCATGTCTTCGGCGCCGCGTCAGAAGTCATTTCGGTGTAATCATTGTATAAGACGGCTTGTAATTCCATGTCAAGGAAAGGGGACATCACGCGATGGGTCGGAATCGTTGTTCAGAACATATCTCATTGGGCTCATGCCATTACAATCGTTGTGTATTCGTATCCGTCACTTCGTATGCAATCGTCAAGTCCTCCAACGCCTCTTACTCCATGTCATGCTTGATGCAATTGAGGTGGACACTCATCTACAATACTGTACCGAAGCCGAAGGTCGTCTTGATACTGCGCACGTAGTACTGGTCCCAGTTGGTCTTAGTGGGCTCCTCCTGACCAACTGGTACACCCTTCCACTCGACCCTCATAACCGTCACGGCATCAACATCGTTTTGATCAAACCATATCGACAGTGTCGAGTAGTGTCCCGCAGGCCATTGCGCAAGTCGCCATTTCTGGACGATGTGTGTGGGTTCTTGGAGCTCGGTGAACTCTCCACTGACGTTTCCGCCAAAGAGCTCAAAGGTACCGCCAGGCTTCGCACCTGTGAAGTTCCTCGGGGGTGCCCGTGTAAACGCAGCGATGCGCTGAGGGTCCGTGAAGGTCTGGTACAGGTTCGCCGCGTCGGTGCGGAACTCTGTGCTGTCGGTGATAGTGGTCACATTGACAACAGCACCAGAGCTGCTCTTTTGAGAGCCAGATGCCTCAGTCTGGGAGGTGGATTTGTTCACGCTTGAGCTCGAGTATACCTTTGGGGCCGAGAAGCCGCTACCGGGGTTCGCACCTGGCGCGTGTTGGATATCCTTTCCGTGTTCCGCCATGACCGCTGGCGCAAGCCCTGTGAAACTTGTTCGCAGTTGCGGTAGGATCTTGGATCGTACTAAGTCCTTTACGGGTTGTTTGCTCGCTTCGTCGGAGTAGACGTCTACCTCAAACTGTGACAAGACATTAGTGACTGTGTACACTGGCGGGTGCGAAGAGATAAAGGACGGTGCCAGCGAAGGGAACATACGACATACTCGTCTTCCTCCGTGTCGTGAGCGACTTCCGGGACGGTAATGGTGCCGCTAGCCTCTTCGCCCTCTTTGTTCTTGCCTGCCGACTGAGTCAGCGCGACTAAGAAAGGCAGCTGAGAAAGGACGTACCTGAGTATTCGAGCTTCAGCTTCACGTCGAAGATGGTGATCACTTTGCCTTTGCGTTGGCTCACGTCTACGTCTCCATCCATGCTAACGACCTTGTCGATCTTGGCTGTGACGCCATCCTGCTCAGCCGATATTTGCGTGAGCTCCTTGTCAAGATACTCGCGCGTCCATCCTGACACATCCTTGTTGACCCAATGCCAGTTGTTCGGATTGTGGAGGACCATGGTGATGTTCGGCGGCGCGCTCGATCTCGATTCAATCTCTGTCAAGAAGTTGTTAGCTTCGGCCTCTCATGCTATGTAGAAAAACACGTGTAGTGGGATATTGTCAGAGGGCGACTCGTAAGTCTAAGCAGCTGATCCGCATATAAAGAGTACAAGTCTTCTCAGACTGGTGCCAGCTTGTGTCTCATCATTCAAGGATTGGTAAAGGGTGGTGAATACTTACAAATTGTAGCGCTCAAGCTGGAACGGATCTCTACAAGCGACAAATCAAGGCGCAGGTGCAGAATGTTGAAGGAGTCGAGGTGTTCATGCGAATTATGTAGAGGGGAGCTCGAGGCAGAAGTTTCTGGAACTGATAGCACAAAGCGCGCTATGCCCGGGCCGACCGAAGCTCCGCTCGCGTTCCTTGGCCCGAGCTCTTTGCAGCAGCGGCAGCAACGTCGATGCATGCTGCTGGTCGCGACGCTTTCACTCACTCCAAGCGTCTTCACGAGAGGATGCACTCAACGGTTGCTGGGTAAACGGTTCAAGTTTGATAAGAAGCTGTCACATTCGACATTGAAGAAACTTTCGGGGCTTCACTAGCGGACAGGATACAAGTATTGGCCGGCAATCTCGAACTCACCCATTGCAACATGGCGTGGGATGTTGTCTAGGTGATCCAATCTCACTTCCTCTAGAATCGGGCCATTGGGATGTTCACCTGGACGACCGCTGAACGGGTGTCTTCACTGCCATCTGCACGCGGCATGTTGATCGCATTGAGTTTGAGACCAGGGTTTAGCGCACGGCCGGGAGAACGCGCTGGGGGTTCGCGCTGTGTTGCCATCGTCTAACGGCGAAGAAATTGAAGTCATTTTCATTAGAGGATACCGAGGGTGGAGTATTTGAAACCCCTTAACCCCAAGGTAGAGAAGCGCACCTGTCTTCGTACCGTTTCGTCTCCTGCTAGTACCTGGTGTTGCTTGCAGCTAGAAAGTGCGACCGTGTATCTCGACGCGCAGAACCTTGCGACCACCTCTTCCAGGTTTCCCCTCCACACCGTTGCTTTCTTTTTCGCGGCATTCGCACGTCAGATTCTATAATACACTGGGCGCGTCCCTCATTCCCTTCATCGCGACCGTCTTTGCACGCACGCCAAGTACTACGCCGCCTGGGTGCATGCGCGACGCGTCTTATCAGCGACAAATCGCTTTCAACCCCTCCGGACCATCGGCGCGCACATATCATTCCTTCCCTAGCATCGCGAGCGGCACAGCAAAGGAATCTGCTGCTTTAAAAATCTCACTCGCTTCCGGTATGTATTCTCATGTTCCCTTTCTTCTCTGCCATGCCGAACCGTGCGGGAAGTTTTAAAGTTCTGTCACCTGTCATTAGCCGTGCGCGAGGCTGTGCGCGCGAACGAGCGTGCCATACAGACCATGGAGCATTCCGGCCTTGGTGTCACGACAACGTCTGGGACAAATCGACCGGCAAGACATATGAGACGACAAGACTGGTCCATGGACGATGGAAGCATTGCCCGATCTCTGCAATAGGACCAACAAGTCAAACATCTACGGCAATAAACATGTATTGTCTCAGACAGCGTTTGCTCATCGCATCATGTGCCGCTGCAGCCAAAGCTTTTTCTTGCACAGATATTTACCTATATAGCATATGCAGAGCGTGCGACATCTGTCCTCCCACACACATTGCTAACTCCTCGTTGCAGTAATAGTAGACCTCCACAGTCGCGATCGTAACGCCTTGAACCATCTGAGATGGTGGCGTCCGTTCTCCAACCAAGCACCTCTCGGGCCAACATGGTGAACCCGAAGAAAAGACCAGGTGAGTATCACATCTTAAGATCCTATCCAAGACCGGCCACTGTGCAGACACTGACCACTACAGCTTCCGAGCAAGCACAGCCAGCCAAGTCAAAGGCAGTACGCCCATCCGCAAAACGGCGGGTAGAACGGAGAATAGCAGGATATCAAGAATATCTTAAGGGTAATACGAAGGACTTTGTTCGTCACGATCCAGCAACGGAAACGTTGCCCGATCTACTCGCCTACGATGATGAATTTATGAAAGCCGAGAGGGCTTGCCTGGAGATTCCACAAGATTTCATCCTAGCTGTTAAGCCAGACAAGGACCCGCAACTAGCCGCAAGTCTCAGACCAAACTCAACGAGGTGATGGACGAGTACCAAAGCGAACCCGAGCGTGTGGCAGTCGTCGGCAGGACTGGGCAGGGGAAGTCGAAATTAATAGATGCTATCTTGGGCATCGATGGGATTGCAAGATCGGTAAGCACGACCTCCCCAAAGCATCACGTCATCTAACTTTCCTAGGCGGTAAGCGGCGTGGCAACAACTCGCATTCCAATTGTATATTCACCACGTCGAGCGCACATACAAACACCCTACGAGGTGAGACTGGAGCTTTCCGGCAAGATCGACTGTCGAGATTCAGTACAACAGCATCTTGCCAATCTTGTAGCGAACCTAAACAGATGCGTGGAAGGGCCCATAGAGCTTGACGATCAAGGCCAAGACAGTCTACGGGCGCTTCAGAATCTGTTCAGCGACATTCCAGAATTCGCATCGAACGAATCTACTTGGACATTCCTAGGAAATGATTTCAATTCGCACAAATTCTCATCAGTAGCGAAGCAAAAGGATGCGTTTGGCCAATGCGTCAAGTGGGCTGAGGACCGGCGCCAGAAGATCGCCAACATGTCCGCACAGGGTATCTACGCTACCAACGTGACGGAGCTGCGGAGAGAGCTCGCGCAATTCAGCGACGATCAAGCCAAGATGGACGACACCAAACTTGGTTTCAACCCCTCTGCGCTCGTAGAGAGGATTGAGGTCTTTGGTGACTTTCGGATTCGCTACTCGATCGGCGACTGCCCCGGACTACAGGACATCAACAAGGCAAGCTTGTGCCCTTCCCAGGTTGACATCGCTCAAGCTAACCGTGTGTTGATAGGACCGTGAAACAAAAGCGAACCGATATCTTCAGGACTGCAAAGTAGTCATAGTCGCTGAAGAAATCACGAGAGCTGGCGATAGCGCGTTTCTTGACCACTTAATTAATGACCGTACTACAAGGAGACCCGATCAACGCATCATCATCGCCTTGACAATGGGAGAGTCCAATCTGGACCCATCGGATCGCAAAGATGCAGAATTCAACCAACATGAGATAGCTGATCTCGACTGGCTAGCCGAATGTAAAGCAGAAACTCGGAGAAAGAAGGACAGCTACGCGCCAACAGACTATGCGCAAAGAGACCACTGCGCCCGCGAGATCGCTTTCATGACCCTCGAAGAGAACGAAATATGTGCCCGAGAACGAGGTCGTCGCATCAGCGACAGGCTGAGGAAAAGATTCGCAAAGCAGAACGAAAATTTGACAGTTATGACGACTTCGGCAAAAGACTACATGGAGCATGTCGAGGGCTACCACCAGTACACCGACGAGCATCTGCCGCTGTCCGTTGAGTCCACCCAAATCCCCAGTCTATGCAGGGAACTCGCCGCTATCGCCAATGAACGGCAGCAGAAAGATCTTCTTCGCTTTTACAGGCGAACACTACCCGAGCTCTTCAGCTATATCGAGCTCGCTTGCAGCACGACTTCCGGGCCTGTACAGACAGGGCCCAGGTTCAACTTTGAAGAATTCGCATCCAAATTGTTGAAGCCGCTCGAAGTCTTCCTCGACGTTTTCGAAAGTGAACTCATCCTTCCGAGGATTAAGAGCATGAGAGAAGGAGTCGGCGATTGGAAGAACGAAGGTCACCATAACATCAACAATGTTTGGCGGAAGTTGCATGGTAACGCCGTACGGTGCTACTTGAACAAGCTAGGCAACCACCGGACAAAGGGACTGCCGAGTTGCAGTTGGAACATTACGCTTCTGGGTCCTGTCCAGAAGACGCTCGACCCGCTGTTCAAGGAGCTAATCGCGGAAACATCCTCCAGGCTGGGTAGCCTTGCATACCAGCTAGAAGGAGTCGTGGACGACTTCCTGGAAGTCCTTCTCGGTGTCGCCGAACAGCTCGACAGCAAGAATTTTGGAGCGAACCTTGACGACAAGAAACCGCAACTCTACAACATGTATGATGTTGTCGGCAGAGACCTGATGACATTCCTTCGGCTGTTCCGAGGACGTCTTACTGAAGACGGCAACGGTGACTTCTTTCCCCAAAGAATGAAACCGGTCTACACTGCCGCATTAAAGGCAAAACCGATAGGTAAGCTGACCATGAAAGAGGTGCAGATGCAGACACTGGAAGCGCGCATATGCGGAAACAACAGTCCCTACGACAAAATGGTCGACCAGTTTGAAGCCGCTTGGAAAGCCAAGAAGATAGCGTTGTTGGAGATTGGCAGACAAGCTATCGCATTTCACATAGCAGAGATCAAGGCGTCGTACAAGCAACTCTGCACTCCTGAGCCGCAGGATAATTCCATGACGCTGCTGCGCGCTGAGCTGGAGCGCAAGGTTGGCGTGGCGAGGGAACAGTGCAAGGGACCTATTCTGACTTCCCTTCTGGAATGCGGGCTTGATCCGAACTTGAAGAAAGTGAAGAAAGAGAAGAAAGTCAAGAGAGAGAAGAAGGTCGCGAAGGTGGAGAAGTAGGCAAATGGAGTGTGGAAAGGGTAGTGAGATCGGGTGTATACCCAGGGTTTGCTTTCATGCGTCCGTTCAGTTCAGGTATGATACCCACGATGGGCGGTAGGCCCGCGAAAATGGAGTCTGGTTTTGTTGCGCGATACTTTTGCGATGTATGTATGTCTACGTAGGCTTTCGAATACGAGCTCGTCACACTATGAGGGATCTTGTCGGATAACTAGACTGTCGCATGCCTCCTGCAGCGAACAACGGGAGCGTATCCTCCAGAAGTCTACATTACCTTTGAAACCTCGCTAACTTTCATCTTTATATCGATGTAGACTGCAGCGCACCTATTCGATTGCTGGCTTGTATGCTTTATCGAGATGACTGGTATACTCTATCCAATACGCATGACATGTAGCCGACTACATTCGTCTCCGGTGAGGCAACGTAGTGTATACATGATCGCTATACCGAACATCCAGAACAACTCCTTCGAACAAGACCGCTATGGTAACACGCACAAGATCCCGTACCCTGTTGTGCCGCGCCGCTCCACTCACTCGATGCTCGGTCCTATACAATGGAGACCACAGGTCAAGGAAAATCCTGGTTTTGAGAGGTATCTCAAGAACACAGCCCTAGGCCTGCACGCCGAGACCTGGAAGGGATGCCAAGTCAACTACGTTGGTTTCTGGAAGCACCACGGCGACGAGCAGAAGTTGAGGCAGTATGTCGACCCTGACTGGGCTTAGAAGCCAGTGCACAGCCCTCTCGCTTTCCTGCTGCAATCTTTTTTTTTTTTGAACTCTGCTGTCTACAAGACGGCTGCTCTACCTTACTGCGGTCTTTAGCAAGACTGATGAGTAGATACACTTCATGAATCCATGACATTTCTCTCCTGTTATGACCCTTGACTCTTGTTCGTGATGATGTAGACACTTTCGATTCGTATGTGCACCTGGTTAGTTGGGTCAATTGCCGTGAAGATGGGCTATTATGCTGTTTAGTTCGCATGACATAGCAGTACCAAGCTGCCTGGACCCAATAACATTCATGTAGTAGAAGAGGTCTTGGGGCGGATCAAAGCTTCCAGGCCTCGTGACAAGCTCCGTGTGGTCGTAAAGGTCATGGGCGTTGACCGGGGTCAAAAGTCACAATACCTGGCCCTTACGCCAACTGCAAGAGTACCATCGTATCCATAGTGTCGAATACCCATCAACCCAAAGCAGTCCGCACGATCCCAATCTCCAAGCTCCATCACAACCGCTCGATAGATCTTTCATCAGCCAGCACCCCGAGCGCGGTGCTTTCTGCCCAATGAGCTACATCTCCACTAACGCACTCTAGTCGGCTTACCTCACGATCGAGCGCTAGAAGGCGATAATCAATCCATAGACTAGTAAACGTAAAGCTATCTTCATCATTCTAGAGTCTCATCTCGCTCGTCTCTTGATCAGTTTCAGCGACAACATCACGACATTGCTCCGCACACGTGCTGTGACATGGGCGATGTCCTCGGAAGTTGGGTATGACCGAGCCGGCCACGGCATTCATGCGATTAGTATGAAAGAATAACGCCAATTCTATGCCCATCATACAGCTTAATCGCTTCCTTCTCGCGGGCCAGCTTCTTGTTTGGCGTTCCCAATCATAGCCACGCCGACGTATGCTATGTAGAAGACGGGCATTTCCAAGGCTTAAGAAGTCACACTAGTGTTGGTACAATTGTTCGGTAGAAGTTCATGGTGTCTTACTGATCGTGACAAGAACTTACGAACACAGATTGAAGAACACGTTGCATTATGGTTGGGCTTCGTCTACTATATCTTACACCTATCCAGAGAGATTGGCTGTGTGCTAGGCGGCCTGGGCGAACAAGACAGACCGGCTGACGCCCATCATCTGCACCACCAAGTCTTCTGTATGCGGCAGGAGCTGCACTCCCCTCAGATCAGCCTTGCGCTCTAGTCCCTGGCGCTCAGTTGCTGTGAAGGCGTGCGCCCAATCCGTTCGCGTGATGTCGACGGCTGTGTACGAGAAGCCGATCTGGAAGAATTTCTCAGACCTATATGAAGTGTCCCAGGACCCACCAATACCTACTAGATTAAAATTTCCGGCTGCTATGTATGCGGCAAACCTGATTCCATTCGAGGCGATACAAGTCCACCTAGGTACATAAGGGCTAAGCCTGGAGGTCCTCATGCATTTCCAAGATGTTGCGCAAATTTCTAGGACACTTTGAAGTGTACCCGGGTCTTACATTACCCGTAAGAACAAAACTTTCGCATTCGATGTATGCGGCAGAGCCAGTTTTTCAAAAGGCGATACGAGCCTCCCCAGCTATGTAACGGCTAAGCCTGGAGGTTATCACGGATTCCTGGGGCGCTGGGGAAATTCTTGGAAGTCTATGAAGTCCTCCTGGGCCTCTTGAGACCTGTCAGATCAAAATTTCTTAAAGCTATGTATGCGGCAAAGCCAATCACGAACTCCAGATCTGGAGCGTCATGAGTGGAAGTCACCCACATACTATCGCTCGCGATTCCGGTGCCCGTCTCGCATACGACGACCCCGCTGATCGTCTCGGCATCAGATTTGGCGGCATTCGGGACGGTGACAAGGAAGGAGGATGGTCCTGGCTGATGATGGATGGAGATGCCGAGAAATCTATCTCACGACTCAGCCGGCTCGTCGAGTGGCTTGACGGCTAGGGTACTAAAGAGTTGCGACCTCGTCGTTGGTATCCCGCCAACGAGCGTATCGGCAGGCCATGATGTAGATATACCCGCCACCTACTGGATACTGGAGAGAAGTGATAAGGGCTCCGTACCCAGGACTAGGCCGTGAAAAACATTTTCGAGGCGTTTGGCTGATATGTACGGAACTGGGCCATTGTCTTTGATGAGATGCCGCCGACAAGAGACAGGAGCAATCCAGACCCCACAAGAGCTAAGAGAGAAGAAGTATGAGACGGAATGTAGGTAGGTATCATCGCAAACGTATTTCAGGCCGGGCGACTACGTTGGCGTTGCAATAACCTGAAACGCAGTATTCCAATGTATGTAGTTGCCAGGGCTTACGAACAACAGCACAGAAAGCATCCCTGGTTTGACTCTAAGCGCGCTTCGACTGCAGGCCCGGTGATGGGCATTATCGAAACTTTGAAAGAGGTATTGAGGTGTTGATTGCCGATTGAACGGGACCAGGAGCAATTCTGATCCTGTGCCAGCCTGTTGAGCGTTGCGGCGTCTCTCCCGATAAACATGATGTGTAAGGCGGGTAGCTTTTTCATTGACTGCTTCTCTTTATGGGCGCTTCTGAGGAGAAGGAGTGTTGAGTCGACGCTGATACTACGACAGCGTGACTTCGCTATATCGCTGAAGAGGTGCGCAAGATGATTGGAACGAAGGCGCTGTACCCGCGAGCCTGCACTGAGTGCCCGGTTTCCAAGGTTCTATTCGCATATCTTGTCGCGAAAAGATTAGCCCAGACGCCTACATCAGCGCCGCGACAACCCAAAAGGCGGTAATACCAGGATGGCAGCTGCCAGAGCGTGGTCTGCGACAACGCTGAGTCGACACAGTCAGAGTACAGGGCGAGGCGGCTGGCGAGCGTCAGCGAGCCCGCCGCCTCTGCCAGCCTGCCGCGCAGCGGCGCCCCCCATTGAGAAGATTAGCATGGCCCCTGCACTAAGGATGACACGCTCAATCAAAGAGAAGCTACCGTTTTTTTGCTCTGGATCTGGCGCCGGAGTAGATGGGATATTTTGGAGGGATTTGCAATGCGATATCTGTGTTTGCGAATGTAGAACAATGTGAAGTGCAGAGGAAATGGTATTTTGATCATTATTGTGCGGGAAGAAAGGTTGCTGGACCCTTGCGCAGCAAAAAGAGCGCAAAAAGAAGAGCTGGGCTCGACTCGAACCCGGGTCTCCACGCACCGATTTAGCGATGGAGTCAGATCAAAGAGCAAAAAAATGGTAGCTTCTCTTTGATTGAGCGTGTCATCCTTAGTGCAGGGGCCATGCTAATCTTCTCTGTATCGTTTCAAATTGACCAAATGCCCGAAGGCGAAGGTCGGACAAACAGAACGATATATATCAGCAAGTGATTGATGCTGCGCGCCTGGGCGCGTGAAAAGCTGGATCTGGGCCGGAGGCGGTCGGGAACACGAAAATTCGGAAGTGGACCACGCTCGAACCACCATAAGCTTTGGGAAGTCTTCGGGTGACCTGTGCGTGTCCAGAAGCTGCATAAAGGCTATCATAGGCGGGCTTCGCCCGCTACGATAACCATAACTGCTATTGCGACCATTCGTTGTCGCTATATCATAACAGCCCATAGAACAACCAAAGTATATTCACTATCTCTTTCTTCTGTCAACGCAAGGTACGCAGATCGATGTATACAGCTGACGGCAACGGTTTTTCGCTATGCGGATGCGTGCTAGTCGAGTAGTTGTCTTGCTGGTAAGATCAGCACATGAATCCAGCGCGTTATAGTTGGACCTGTCGCATATGCTTCCAGTGGTCTTCGTTATCGTAGGATTCACTGGTGCTATTCGTGGTGTCCCTTACTAGTCGTTGTATTGGTTGTCAGCTGTCTGCATGATCTGGAAGTACTTAGGGAATGACACCTGAAGGCTATCAGTGCACGACATGCACGGAAAGCAACCTGGTGTCTTCATATGAGATGAAAGTCAGTTTCGAGGCGCGCAGTGATGCGACAGTATCGCGGAGAGAGAAAACAAGTGTGTGAGAAAGCCAGGCAAGTGGTATTGACTGTGATGTTTACCCCTCCACCCCACTTGCGCTTCGCGAAATTGCGCGTTAGGAAGTAGCGCTTCAATATGGTCGTCACGGTCGCGCCTTCCAAATCTCAAGTCAACTGCACATCTAAGTTGGAAGCAATGTGCATGCCAGAAATGATTGTAAGCGCTAACACATATCCTGCAGTTATATGCAATGCTCTGCAAAAACAGCCTCATGACATGATGTATACTTTGAAGTCAGCCTTTCTGTGCAATGCGACCCAGAGAACGAGATCTTTTTGGCATACTACTATGTATGCGCAGGGCAAGTGGTCAATTCGAACCAATACCGCGTAAATTCACAGGTCCTGTGTCCAAGATGATGCGCACACAGCACAGTTCAAATGAGAGGAGACAAGGGTATCATTGCTACACACATCTACTCCTCCAACAAGTCCATCACCAACTGCGGAATGACCTGCACACCTTCACCCTGTATCGCACTAATCGGCACAGTCTGCACGTTGCGCCGCCACGCATGCTTGCGGTTACTAGGATGGGGTTGCGCGCCCTTGCTCACCTCCTCAAGATACGCACGAAGAGCCTCAAAGTTGACCTGCGTATCCGGCAAATCGGCCTTTGTCGCGACAACGAACCACGGCTTCGATGAGATCGGGGTTGTGCTCAGGAAGGGAAGAGGCTTCGGCGAGGGGTCTAGATGCGGCGAGTCGAGGAGGTCGGATGCGTCGCTCGGTGGTGCTTTGCCAGCGGGGGTGTAGGTGACCATCCTGCGCTCTGTCTCGGCGTTGAGTTCCTTTCCGCGTAGTGTCTCGTACTCGGATACTTCGCGCCAGAGCAGCTTGAGCGCTGCGACGGCATCACCGGCGGAGAGGTCGATGACGAAGGCGAGGACTGCGGCGCGCTCAATGTGTCGCAGGAAGCCTAGTCCGAGCCCTTTGTCTAGATGCGCATCTTCGATCAGACCCGGCACATCGGCAATGGTAAAGTTCTCGCGCAGCTCTCCATTTGGTCTGCGTGACCTGACAAGCGGTCGCCCCTTGTGGTCGTCCAGAACTACGGTGCCGACATTTGGCTGGAGGGTTGTAAAGGCCCAGTTGCCGACTCGCGCACGGCTGTTGCTCAAGGCCCGGAGGAGCGTACTCTTTCCAGCATTAGGCAGCCCTACCAGTCCCAGATCCGCAAGAATCTTCAATTCTAGTTGTAGTGATATCTTGAGGCCTTCGTCTCCGCGGGTAGCCATCTTCGGCCTGTTGTTGAACGGCGTCATAAAGTGCGGGTTGCCCAGGCCGCCCATCGCTCCGGCTGCAATCAGCATAGGCGTCTCCATGTGCTTGTCCAAGTCCAGCCACATGGGCGCTTCCGGCTCGAGGGCTGCGAGATGCGATCTACGCGGTGGAGGGAGCTTGGGAAACTTGATCCTGCTCAGCTCTGAGGGTATAGTGCCGGGGTAAACCAGCCAGCGATCTCTCCTGTAGCTGGGTTGTCCCTCCTCCAACTCCTCCGCTTCTTCATCCTGCTCCATCTTCCAGTGCTCCTCCTCCATTATCGCCACCGGGTCATGCCTTTGTAGCTCCCGCACAATCGTTCCCACAGGCACCGTGATCAAGACGTCGGTTCCCCGCTCGCCACCTTTGACCTTGCCCTGTCCGTTGCGCCCTCTGCCCGCCTTGATCTGTCGCCGTCTCGCAAGCTTATGTAACGATGTCTCGCCGCGGACTGCTTGGATGTAGACGTTGCCTCCACTGCCACCGTCGCCGCCATTTGCAGGCCCTTCTTCAATGTATTTTTCGCGTAGGAACGAGACGCAGCCGTGGCCGCCGCCACCAGCTTCAACGGTAAGAATGCATCGGTCGGCAAAAGGCGTGAGGGAGTAGTCATCCGCTGTAGGATCTAATCGCGAAGACTGCGCATTCGGATTCGCATCGGGCTGCTCAGCAGATGTGGAGTTGCATCTGAGCTGTAGCGGGAATCGTTTGCGGAGTGGACATCTGCGCGCTGCCGAGGCAAGTGGCACGTGGAGAAAGGCGGGATACAGAAACGGCGTAAGCGTACCGCTGAGACTGTACGGACGAGCGAACGACATGCGTTGATTGCGAAAGTGGCGTCGTTAGGAAGATATGTTCAATCCTGTATATTTCAATCGTCAATATCGCGTCGCGGGACTAGCGAATGGCGGCCCCAGTTCCGATACATGATCTACAACGCTTGTCCAGGCTAGTCCTACATGCCTCGGTACCTGGCAAACCTCAAGAGTACATATGACTTCTTGGGTATTTACTTCTGCCTTGGACAGGCGTTCAATCGTTTGCCTATCTTTCGCCCTTTCTTGGAAGCCCCAAAACTTCGTATCAGTACCTGCATAGTACCTGCCTCGACCCCCATCAGCCCCCATTTTCAATAAACACTTTCGCCCCATCTACTAGCCCCATCATGATCCGATGTGCCTTGCTCACACTGGCAGCCGTGCTGCTCAGAGTCGCCAAACCCGAGTACTTCAGACTTGGTGCAAAACTCGGTCTCTCCAGCAGTCAGCTTGTAACCCTCCATTACTACCTCAAGTGGGCGTTGCCGATATGGGCCCTTGTAGACTTCAACTCGGTGCTCAATCGCTTTGCCGAAAGGCGATGGCTCTGGAGGACCGACAAGTCTATTTGGGATTGGAAGAATGAAGTCGCTGTAGTCACGGGTGGTTCGGCGGGCATCGGAGGCTGTGTGGTGAAGAAGCTCACCTCTCATGGCATCAAGGTCGCGGTGCTCGACGTTAGCCCCCTGTCAGAAATCTTTACCAAAGGTACGTTGCGGCACAGGATCGCCGTGTTTCAAGCTAATGATCTTAGATGAGCTTGCCCTCGTACGATACTACAAATGTGACATTACATCGCGAGACAACATCCATCAGGCGGCGGAAGCCATTCGTTCCGACTTGGGCTCACCATCCATACTAATCAACAATGCCGGCATCGGTAACGCGTGGACTGTCAAAGACATCCCCCAAGCCAACCTCAACAGAATGTTCGAGATCAATCTCCTGAGTCACTGGAGCACCGTCCAAGAATTTCTCCCAGACATGCTCGCTAAGAAGAAAGGCCACATCATGGGCGTCGCAAGTCTTGCTTCCTTCGTCGCTCTCGCAGGTGCCGTGGATTACAGTGCCACCAAGGCGGCGCTTCTAGCTTTCCATGAAGGCCTAACACAAGAAATTAAGCATCGCTACAAGTGTCCAACGATCCAGACCTCCATGGTCCATCCGAACTGGACCAAGTCAGCAATCACCTCACACGAGGCACTTGCGGCGGGGCTGAAAAGCGTGCGCGCGAACATCCTAGAGCCAGAAGAAGTAGCCGAGGCCATGGTCAACCAGATAGTCTCAGTCAAGAGTGGGCAACTGATTCTTGGCCCAGCAATTACTCCCATTATCCGAGCACTGCCTCTTTGGATCGGGGAGCTGATTCGAGATAGCCAAGCCAAGGTCGTCACCGGTGATGGCTCCACCGGCGCATGAACGATTCCTTCGACACGGTGATGACAGGGAAGAGCGGCAGTTCCTACGGGCGGTACGGAGCGTACCCGTTCCAACCGCCTGGGGCCAGCAGCGTTAGTGAGAACTGCATGTTCCAACCAGCAACGCCCCGCCGCAATCTCGAGAGGTTCGTTGGAATTTTTCCGCGAAGCCGAATCAGCGGCACAGACGCCGTTGAGTTGGCAGAGGTTGGAGAGGGCTGCGCCACGTCAATATTCGGGGTCGGCAGTCAGCAGCGCTTCTTCTGTCAGTTTAGCGAAGTCAATAGAAGGTATTTTGCGCAGCACATCATGGGTACTGCAACCAAAATGCCCACTTCTGACAACTGTTATAAACGATCGGGCGGCTGATGCAAAATATGCGAACGATCGAGCGCCACAGCCGGGATCCTGAGCTAATCATAGCTGATGCAGTGAGTATTCTCGGGGTTGTAGGCAAGGTGTGTGGACTCAGCCCCAGTTCCTACAGCACCCATGCAAGGTACATTTCGCGCCTAACCCAACTCGGTCCGAACAAAGTGCAACCGTACGAAGGACCACGGCCTTGGGCACGAGGCGCGGAATTCAATAGTTATATGTTGCCTCTTTGTTGTCTGTTTCATCATCTCCGGGTATCTGCCGTGCTGCCTCCGCCTCGTTGTTGTTACTCTGCTTTGCTTTCCTCTAGTCATTCGTTTCAGATCTCGTGAGCATGCAATGGGTTGGTTCGAGCGTGTTCTGTTCGCGTGTTGCACTGCATCTTTGGTAGTTGGGAGTAATGTTGAATCAGGTTCAAAGAGTAAGTGGACCGCTGGTAGATGGTTGCATTAACTCATGTTATACAGCTGCAAGCCTCTCTAATACTCATCTCACGAACGAGAGATCTCCTATAATTCCACGGCGCGATTTGCATTTTCGCAATGACACGAGCACATCAGAGATAATTCCAACAAGCCTAAGCACATCAGCTACATCGACGCTCTACACTTCTACGACAGTGGACTCTATTACGACCCTGAAGTCCGAGATCAACGCGCCGTCAACAGCCACTATCCAGACTAGCAGCCCCTCTCGCCAGTCAAATCCAACGAAACAAGACTCAGATGGAACAACAAGCTCATATGGCAGCACAAGTAGCAGCGCGCCTGCAATATCTTCTGCTGCGGGCGAGTCGGCGGCGATATCCCTTATCATCACAGGAACGCAGCAGCTATCTGCACCATCATCAACCTCTTTGATCGATCAAATACAGACATCCATATCTATTCAACCATCTTCGATTCCAGTAGGAGCTTCTTCTTCTACGCGCGCATCATCCACAATTCAGGTCCTACCAGTCACTTCGGACGTCAAGTCGACCGCGAGTACAGCCACACCGTCTACAACATGGGTGATTGCGGAATCATCACGAGCGTCAAGTATTCCTTTGCCTGCCAGTACATACTCCGTCGCAGTCTCTCCTACGGCTGTATCAAGCCTGATGATAATTCCTTCGCAGACCTCGCAGTCTCCATCTTCGACCTCCACCGTCGATGTTACTGCGATCACACCAATCAAGTCTATTCCCTCGGTCTCTTCAGAAGGAACGGTCACTAGTGAGCCCACAAAGGCTACAGGACTACTTCAGCACTCTGTGTCTAGTCTTAATAGCTGGGTGGCATCAAGCTCCGCTCCCGCTGTCATTGGAAGTGGAAGCAGTAGCCTCGCATCTCCGGCTTCCATCGCAGACGCAGCCACGCCAATCAGTGTCGCATCTCAACCAGCACAACCGTCTGCTTCAACAGGATACGCCAATCTGCCATCGGGTCAGGACAATGCACCACTTGACACGTCGGCACCAACCCCTTCCGCCTCAGCCCATCTCGAAAGCAGCGTGATTGGTCCCTCATCAATTCCGACTCTCTCCAGTAGTTCACTCTCGCGGACGAGCACCCCTTCTACAACAGCGTCATTGGTAGCTTCGATGAGCTCAGTGGTCGCGGGCATGCCATCAAGCTCTGCTCAGCCCAGCACAACAAAGAACGAGACTTCTGCATCGAATGTAACCGCACCTGTTCAATCTGGCAGCTCTCAGATCGACAGCTCGACCTCGAGCGGCAGCGTCACGGCTTCTGCATCTTCCAATCCCGATAAGACTGCTTCTTCAACCATGACTCGACCGCAGCCTATACCCATTAATCCCATCAACGGTAATATGACAAGGCCAACAAGCACGATTGCGACTACGTCAGCGCAAACAACTGGGTCGATATCTCTGCCGGCACCAGGAAACGGCACCGTCTCCTCCTCGTTGGCTTTTACAACCACGTACTCGGCAGCAAGCAGCCTCGCAAGCCCTGCTACAATGTCGTCATCTTTTGGCTTATCTGGCTCTTTCACACAAACCTTCATCGTGTCGAAGACTAGTCAGATCTTGAGTACTGCGACATCTAGTCAGGCGGCGGAGATCTCAGATGCACCACTTTGGGGGAGCGATCCAACAACTGCGCAATCAACCCCCGCTTCAGGAATTTCCGCGTCGTCTTCCGTTGACTTGGGACTTTTACCTTTTCCGCTTGAACCTCCGCTTCAAACGGCACCTACTGGGTGGACGAACAGCTCAACTTCTAGCGCCACTGGTCAAACTTCTACTCCTGGCGCTCCAATGGTTCCGACTAGTATTGCCAGTAGTTTCCTTGCCAGCAGATCAGGTACCTTGCGCGATATTTTTACACCAATTCTTCTCTCATCCACCGCCACGTCTGCTATTCTCTCTACTCCTACATCGCTCAGCGGCTTCATAACGAAGACGAAGACAGGGACTGAGAGCTCGGTTGTCAGCTCGCGCACAAGTTTGACGTCTATAAACACCTACGACACAACCCTCAGGACTCGAACATTGACCAACGCGCCCACCAGCAGTGCTACCGAGACAGAGGCCGCTGCAGCTCCACCCTCGAAGCCACTGACACCAGAGGAGACTGCCGGGGTCGCTATAGGAAGCACAGCTGGAATCCTACTTGCTATAGTCGCTGCGATCTTCGTCGCTCGCCGCTACCACGCCATCCATACAGCAAAGCTTGGAAGCGGTGGCTCGTCCGGTGTCTACCCTGGAGTTGCGTGGCTGTACGATCCTTCACTTGGCGAGAATGGTAGCGGTAGCAGTGGCAGTGGATCGAATGATGCACTCATGTCTGGTGGAGCAAGTGGGTTGCCGTCAACTGGAAGTAGAACACCACCTCGCGTGCCGAAGAACTCTCGCGAGTACGATCCTCGCGGTTGGCTCAACATCAGTGCGCAAAACTACAGCGACCCTGGCAACCCATGGAGAGAAGACCCATTCAGAGATCCCGAAGACCCCTTCAAAGACGCCTTTAGAGACTGGAGAGGTAGCGATGCGATTACCTCGCCGAGTGATCCTGGGTCTGATCTTGTTGCGGAGGTGACAAAGTATGCTGTGGGCCCGCAAAGACCTCTTCCTCCCGTGCCGGCGTCTCTGACACCACTCTTCCGCGACCATGTCATTCCATCACCGACTATAAGTCCAATCATGAATAGCTGCAGCCTGAAGCGTAGTCATTCGGTATCGTCAAGACGAAGCAGTGTCAAGAGCCAAAGGTCTCTAAGGAGCCTTCGTGCCTGTCCTTCGCCGAATTCCGAATCGAGGAACGTCCCACCGATATCTCCTTCCTGGCGTCGAGCGAGTAAGATCCTAGCATCTATTAGGGAGGGACACGCGGACGACCCTCTTCCCGACCCGATCGAACATGACCTTCTTCTGCCAGTCGATGTAAGATCGGAAACACCAGATTCAGTAATGGTACATGTATATGCGCCAGCACCCGTAAGCAGGACGCCATTGCGACCGATGTTGTCTACAATACTGTCAGACGACGAAATGTCACTACTAAGCACAACAGCTGCGAATTCATTAGCAGTTGTACCACCTCGGTCAACTGGTAGCATCCTCTTTCCCACACTCAAAGACGACCGATACGCATACACTTCACTTCCTTCAACCAACGTTCCATCCCCATCACCACCACATTCCGAACGAGCAGATAGCGACAAGACAATAACCCAATCCACCTACTCCGTCCGGCCATCATCTCCAACCCCAACGACAACCTCCGCGCCCCGGAACAAAGGGTGGGAAGAGATAAAGCGCACATCCAACGGCTCATCTAGTCTCATGTCCTCGCGCCCGCCAACACCACCTTTCCACCACTTCGCTCTTCCACCGCGACCCAATCTCACCCCTCCGCCTCCTCTCAAGAAACGCTCTTTGATTCAACTCCGCCGCAAGACACCCTTGGCTGGCCCCGGTCAACTCCTGGTTCCACCTCACAACCATTACTCTTCTCCTTCGTCTTCGCCCTTGACGGTGCAGACGAACTTCATGGTCAACTCGAACAAGAGCTTTGAGGGGCCGAGGATGAGTTTGCTAGCCAAGGTGCACAGCATGAGTGATATGAGAGATGAGACTGCGAGTCCGAAGAAGAAGAAAGGCATTGGGCTTGGGATTGGATATCGCGATTCTATTTCGCGGAGGGTAGGACGGGTTTCGAGATGGGGTCCGGAAGATGTGGGGACGAAGTTTTGAGGTTCTTCTTTTGGCTTTGGCCGTGGCCACGGTTTTACATGCAGTATGTCTCCTTGAAGGCTTCAGTGCCTGTCGATGCATTCCAGGCGACACTTACATCCCTTAAGTTTCAGTACAACGGTCTATCATAACGACTCCGCCCAATGTCGAACGAAGCGTTCCACTACGCATCTTTCATGTCTCACTTTTCCAGCAGTTTACTGGGGCGTCTTGCTCGAAGCGTTATACACATTAGATTATCCCACTTTGTGATGTTACTTTGTTTGCTGCGCCACAGAAACACTTCTCTTGTATATAGGATCTGTATAGCTAGTTTCTAATTCTACCTAACAAACATGGAGACCCGTACCTGGTACCCTGAATGGCAGCACTCGTGATTGAATGTTTTCGCGCAGCCACTTCTGGAGTAGCGAATGCATAAGGTAAATGACAATGTCAGCATAACGAAGCCGCCTACGTTATCTCTGCACAACAGAACAACAATACGACGCTCTTACTCTTCTCGGTCAACGCATCGTACATCACTTTCTTGCGGTGAGAGCCTTATGCAATCTTCCCACCCCCAACCCTCGACATGCACTGCTTCCTTGCAAACACCTACATACATCACCGGTAGTTACCATCTCCGCAGAACAAGTCTGATGCAACCCACCCACGCACTAAACTCACGCGCACCACGCTACCCAGGATACCCTTCGCCCATCTTCCCCCCTACCAGCACCACGCCCATCGTACGATGCCCATCCGTATTCAAGCTTCGCCAAACCCCCCATTCCCATTCCCATTACCCCAAAGCAGCCATTGGGCATCCATCCTATCTACAAGGTCAGGTCAGGTCAATTCTGCCCGTCACATTCGCTAGCCCCAAACCTTATCCCTACATACACCGGCCGCGCCCGACTACCACGCGTAACTGGCTGCCGGGCGCCGGGGCAACTTTCCGGGCTGCCCAGCGACCTAATACGCTGGCGCCAAAGTCAGGGTAATTGTGCTTGTTCCTCGCAGCGGCACGCGATTATCGGAAGAGGAGCATGGACAAACTAGGCCTTGGGTGGTAAATGCGCGCACCTGCTTTTACCCTGTCTACGTCTGCAGTCTGTGCCTTCGCGCGCGTCTGTGAGCTGCTGCATGTATGCACGATGGTGTTGCGTTTTGTGGGAACGGAATCATGAAAAAATTTGGGCGCTCAGGGATCGCGTGCACCGGTGCATCGTGCATGTATGTATCTTTTGTTTTTCGTATCTCAGCTTCGTATGTACATGCAAGGCTAGCATCGTGCAGTTTAAGCGGCGGTAGCGGTGAACCGCGAAATGGCCTTCGAACCCTCTCGCGATCGAGCCGCAGAATGCAGGCTGGGCTGTGGACGGAGCAAACTCCGGTGCACCATCGTCTTGCTTTTTCTCAGCCTTCTTTGCCCACATCCGAGCCCTGCCGTGGGTAAGAGGGTGTTCAGCCGAGTTCGACCGGGGGCTTCTCCTTCTAGAAAGAAACGACGACCTGCATGTGAGATGAAACGAAAAAGCAAAAACGCAAACGTCATTCGGCTCGGCGATTAACAGCACGAGGAGATTTGCAATCTCGTATGCAGGATGATCTCTCGTTTGATGCTCATGGTTCGCACTGGGGTATAATCTAATAGTGTTTGTACATCGTAATATTGGGACCGTAGAAGATCCGGGGCCCAAGAAATTCCCCCAGCGAACCATTCTGGGATGGTGTGGCCTGGGCTTTCCAGGGCAGCCTGCGGCTTCCTCCGCGCCTCGTGGAAGATGATCCAGAACGTGATAGCCAGAAGTGTATCCTACAGATCGTTCCAGATCGTACTCGCCTTCAATGGACCAAAGTCGAAAGCGAGATTCGCTGCTCCAACACATGCATCGCCAGTATCCTCCTCCACCCTCTGGCCATCAGCTTCGAGCCAAAAACAAAGGCGCTGACAGCCACCACCGACCTTCACCACCATAGTTTGATGAATCACCGATATGCTCGCGAGCAGGCATCAGGCCACATCTGAGCCGCTGCGCTTGTTCCTCCTACGAGCCCAGAGCTCGTGAAGCCACTTGTGAGATGCTTCGACGTCGGTGGGACCGGGGCACAGCGGGAGCCTCTGTCGGTATTCCTTCTCATACCTACGGATCGCCAAGTGAAGCTCGATCTCCTGCGACATGCGCTCCAGTAGCATCTTTGCTTGTTCATGATTCTTGGGGAGAGTGTCCAGAGTTGCTTCAGCCACGGCTTTGGCCTCGTTTGCCGACACTCGAGAAAGGTTGCAGAAAAGCTGACGCTTGTAAAACTCCATGGATGTGTCCAGGAGAGGTGCCAGCCCACCAAGCTCGCGAGTGAAGATGAGCTGAGCCTCCGTATACATCCAAGATCGCGTGGGGTGGAGTGAGCTGCGATGCAGTAGCTGCACGTCAAGCGGGTTTACTTTGGTGGCACCTACACGAACACAGTTCTGCAGCTCCTGCCTCAGCCCATTGGCGTCAAGACATGAGTTGAGAATGGGGTTGTCTGAATTGAGGTTGACGCCCTGAGTCTCAGCCTTATTGATGCGAATCCAGACGAAGAGGGTGTGCACTTGTCCCGGAAACAGTCGACGAATCTCTTTGCTTCCAGACTCAACGAGAATCTCGCAACCTGCCTTGGTCCGAATTTCGACCTTCGAGTCAAGCAGTTCCCCAACGGGTTGCTCAGAGCGGGCATTCTTCAAGATGCGCTTGATGCGACCGGACGTGGATTGGTACTTGGACCAGTTGCTAGCGAAAACGTTCTTGCAGCAGTCTTTAAGACAGATGGTATCCTGAAACTCTGGTTCGCGGCGATACGGGAGGAACGCAGGATTGATGCGGTGAATGTAGATATCCGGGAAGGATTTCGATACCTTGTGCAAGACATGAGCCGCAGGAGACAGTACGATGACATGAGTTCGACCAGCCTTGAGGTGCTCGCCCGCCATTGATCCGGCGATGCCAAGAATGACATCACCCATGGTGGGGTTTGGACGAGGCGGATGCCAGAGTTGTGAGCCAGAATGCGCGATTCTAGACGTCAAATCCCGGAAGATCTCATCGACATCCGCACAGACGGGTCGAATTGGATAAATCACCTCTGGCCTGTTTCCGGTGACATCAAGGTGGGTACAGTGAGTAGTGTACAGCGCCAGTCGATCTTTAGGGCCAAGATGATACTAAAAAAGTGAGCAGATTGCTTCTGAGCAACATCAGCGATGGTGGCTTACCAGGGCTCCATTAACCGCATCTAGTGACCTCTCGAGACAAGCCGAAGTCACATAGTAGCTGTACATTATGTCAGCTAGCATCGTCGATCCCACCACGCAGGCACTTACCCGTTGTCTACCACGAAGATCACATCAATACCGGTGTCGGGCAGAGGCTTTCGGTTGTGCAGTACACCCTCAATTTCGATAGCAACGCCGATGTCTTGGTAATCCTCTGTGAGAAGCTTGACCTCAGGGAACAGTCTAACCGCTGCGCGCAGGGTTGTCGGCAAGTGTGAGGTCAAGTCTGACACCTGTGCCTCCGAAGCCTCATGATCAAAGTCAGTCGGGGAAGGAATGCGCTTCGAGATGCATCCCATGAGGGAGGTGAACTCGTCTCCGCTGGATTCTGTTAGTGGCTGTTGCATAGGTTCGCAGGTAATGACTTACTTGCGGGCGTTGCTCAGCAGGTAGGCCTCGACAGCTTGGTCGTCCGGACGCTTGATTTCTGAGCCTTCTCCAGCCTCATCGTGAGCCGCAAGCGCTGTAGCTGCTGTTGGCGACGTTGCACTCGGCGAACCGCTAATACCAGCGCTAGTCTCTCCAGTGTTGTGACGACGTAAGAGAGGTAGACCACTGGTGAACGATCGAAGCTTTGACGACATGCGCCGCTTCAGGGGTTCGTTGCTACCTTCAGTGTTGCTAATCGCCTTCTCAAGAGCCTGTTGCGCGTTCATGTGTTCAGCGCTATCGGCGACAAAGAGAGGGTGCGCAGGCTCGTTGGACGCCACATCGATCAACGGCCAAGGGGTCAATGCAGTGGTAGGCATAGAACGTACTGGGTCGCCGTTTTCGGGCTCGATATGGCTGTTCTTGCGCGAGAACGCCATCTGATCTCCAAAGCTGGATCCTGAGGCTGAGGACCGGCTGTTTCTGTTCTTGCGTATCGTCAGAGGTTGGTCGCTCGGAGCGCGACTAACAGGCAGAGGTGTTACGGTCCACGCCAAAGGTGCCCTGAGCGGTTGCGCCCAATCAAAGACGGATGAGTTGAAGCTGTAGTCGGGTGGTGACTCCCAGATATCGCTCTTGATCTCGTCGATGATGTCGTCTAGCGGACCAAACACGTACTGATCGTCGCAATAGGTAGGAGTTGACTTACGGAATATTCGCCTTCGAAAAGTAGCTTTTCGCGATTTCTTCTGGATGTGGAGGGGAGATGGGCAGAGAGGCGCGCGGTCGAGAAAGACGCTGCCAGCTGTTGTTGTTGTGATCATTACGGACGCGTCCCAATTAGGCACAAATAAAAGCCCAGTCACCGCGGCGCGCTCTCGTTCACCTTGACTTTCTTGAGAACGCGTGGTCTTGCTATCAACAGTGACGTCAGATGGCAAACGGAATCTGGGAGATAGATAAGAAGAGTAGGCAATGCCCAAGTTGAGATGTAGAGTGGATGTGCGAACGGAGGTTGGAAGTCCAACGGTGAGGTGAGGTTTAAAGGTGGGAGGCACTGCTACAAGCCGGGAAGGTGCCAGGTGGGCACGTCAACAAAGCTACCATACTCCTTCCTACTTCTGAAAAAAGACAATCGTATCAAGAACTTCCACGAAGACGTGTTCGAGTTCATGCTTAGCTTCTGAAGGGCAACGCATAGCTTCTACCAGATATTTGATGCCGACTGTAATCCAACCAGTCCACCGATTATGCCTCGCCCAGTTGTGCGGCAGCTACTTCTAAATGCCTCTTCATCTTCTCGTGCATCTCATCGTCCGCCTCGCGAAAGCGAATCTATCACATGAGTAAGCAGTGGCTTAGTCAGATGTGGCTGTGACCTACAATGTCTTCTCCAGCGCCAGCGCCGAACAGGACTGATTCCGATATACTAGCCTTGACTGCTTTTCTTACACGTTCCTCCCAGACCCCCTCCCAGTTCCACTCTCCAGGTCGGCGATTACGTCCTAATGCAGATGAACCTTCTGACTTGTCCGTTGTGGAAGGGTCGGGACTTGGAGTTGCTCGGTCTGACTGTTGCGATTGCAATATCGGCGCGCGGTGCGCTCGCCACGCATGATACGCGCCTGGGTTCGCAGCAGCCTCTAGCGGAAGTGAGTCCAATATTGACTCCTCACTAAAGGTTGAGCGGATGTACTCTAGCATGCGCACAATGGAGTACTCCGCAGTAGACTGAGAAGCCCCGAGGACGCCAGATACGACGTTGGAGTCGGATCGCGCGGGAAAAGCATTTGAAGATCCACTGACATCGCGAGAATTCGGTACAGATCTTCGAGCTCTGCCGAACCAGTGCGGGAAGCCGTGCCGGAGACTGAAGCCTCCTGGTGGCAGCCGTTCCTCATCCGTGGCACTGACGGTATCCGTGTCGGCGGAGCCAGTCGTGTAAGTATACGTGGTAAGTGGCGTGAGCAGCGGGTGAAAGACATCGGTAGAAAAGGTCACGAGGGGGGGTATAGTAGGATAGCTGGGTGGGAAGGAGATTTGGAAGCGTAAGACTGCAGGCGCATATGGTCCTGTCAAACGTGAATAACGTCGCAAGGAACGCAACACCGTGGCGTAGCCCTATAGAACAGCCTACCTTTTCGCACGAATATTACACCTACCCACAGTGTTGGGTCGCCGGGCGTGATGCTCAAGAAAACGCCATCCAGCTGTGCATAGCGCAGACGGGTGCTGTGCAGAGTTAGGAAGCGCCGCTGCTAGCCGTGTGCCTCGACTCACAACTCGACGAGAAGATGCTGCTTCCGAAACGACGGGAGAGCCGACGCAGAGACGGACAACGGCATCTCGAGCGCAACGATGATGGTTGTAGGTTGTTCGGCATCTGCAAGCACGGCGCCTGCGACAGAGAGCCGAAGCGCGTTCGACGCTAGTGCTAGCCGATCTGCGTTCTCACCTGCTTGGGTCTAACGCGCTTCCCCGCCTGCCATTCGTTGAGCGTGCAACACCACCAACACCCTTCTGTATCTCACCGGGTCGCGAAAGGAGATGCGCGCATGGTAGCATCGTGTGGGATCTGGGCAGCTCATCAACGTGGCAGTTCGCGAGTGGTGTTTGATGAGGTTGAGCTGATTATTCGGCGGATGCAACGCCCTGTCGAACACCATCCCTACACCACCTTTGGATATGTTCGCGGTAACACTGCATGCATCTTCCTCACCCGCCCGATGCCGGGCTGCCGCTCCATCCCCGTCGTCTATCTATGTCAGACATGCTCGGGACGTCATGTGCGGCCCTGGGACAAGGCTCTGTCTGCATGCTGAGACCGAGTATCTGTGCCGGCAGACTCGCAACGGTCCGGCTGAACGCACACCACCGGACTCACGTCAGAATACCATGGAGGGTGCATGACCGCATGCGCCGTTGAGACTGGCGAGTCAGAGCAGAACTGGCTCACACACACCTACATCGTCTCGAAACGCCTGTGTCGGGATGTGAGGTTAGCCATCCCGCTTTGCGCTTGCCGAGCCAGCCTATACACCAGCATCAGGATAATCAACTTTCGCCCTCCTACGCTTATTTCGAGACGCTGTGCCGCAATGGCGATGATTGATGACCACGTCGTACAAGGCTCGGGTCGAAATGCGCTGGCTCCAGTCAGCCCACTATTGGTAGCCTAAGGCGATGGTATTACACGTCGTCGCAACCGAGGGCAAAAGAAGGCAGACAAAGCCTCGCACGTAGAGTCGGCGCCACATCGAGCATCTACCTGATGCAGAATGATCGGGCAGCATCATTCCGATCGACCCACGCTGCCGGTTTCAAGGCTGGCTTTTCGTTTTTGTACACTCGTGCCGACAAGCGCGTGAACACCCCAATCCTCCGAAATCTCTCCAACCCACGCCGCCTGCATCTGCTGTCATCTTCGTCGCGGCACGACGCTATGAGTTATGCTATTGCCTAAGGGCAAAGAAGCATGGTGTCATTCTCGGAGGATTCCAGTAGAGCAATGAGAGGGCCAGGGGGCGTAAACCTAAAGGCGCTAAAAAAGGCGGTGGCTGTCTCAGACGCTTCCATCTCAAAGCGAACCCTGTCCTCGCGTGGAAATCTGCAGGCCAGCCTTACATATCCACACCGCCATGACCGCTTAGGCCAGGTTGCGTCGAAACAGCCGTTGTGCCCTGGACACCTTTGCACCAGCAAGCAGAGATCGCTGGTATACCGCGACAGCTCACTTACAGCACATGACGGAAGCATGTCCGGGGCCCACCGGAAATGGGAGTGCTGGCAAAACCTAATCAAGCGGTCTGAAATGGGCAGCAGTACAGATGCTACGTCGCCGCAGAAGGGCGCAGAGCCTCGTCAGCTGATGGGGGTCCTAGGGTTATGATGCCTTGATGACTGATGAGAATGCAATCACGATGTGTGACCAGCAATGACAGATGCAAGCAGCAAGCCACGTCCTGCGACCCGGTTGGGCCCAATGCGCAGGCGTGGGAAGCTTCGAAACCACGCTGACCGGACAGGGGGGCAGAGAAATGATACCTGGGGCAGCAAATGAAATCGCCGCACGCCTAGTGCCAGGTTGCGATCTGAGGGATACGAAACGCGCTGCGTCGTCCTCCTCGGCCATTCAAGCGCCGCGACTCGTGCCTTGTGGCGCTGACGACCACCCGGATCGCCAGGCATTGCAACAAAGCGACGTTGTCTAATGCGCATTGCCGCGTGACCGGTTGGTGTGCATCTGCCGAATAGGCATGGAGTACACCGCTATTTTTTGGGGGTTTGTCGGAGCAATCAAGCAGCAAGGTATGATGCCATGA